CAAGCAGAACCTGTGCCGATAGTAAAAATGCAACAGGTGGCTGTATCAGTTCCAATATGTGTAGCTGTGCATCATGGCAGCAACAGTGGAATGATTAGCTCCCTCTCCAAGTCCTGCTCAGATATTTCTAGCTTACAAAAATATTTTTGTTGGCAGTAAATTCACACTTTTTTTTTTGTTTAGTTTATTATTTATTTGTTCATAAACCTTACTCTGGTGGCCTAAGTCTAAGGTACATTTTGTCAGGCCACAAGTGCATATGGCTGGGATTCCCCTCGATTCAGTACCAGTGCCTCAGTTCTCTACCAAAGATTTCCATAACTCTGCTTTTAGCACAGTACTTTTGTGATAACCTAGTGATGCAAACTGTATCATGACACTGACACTGTTCATTCTGCTGTATTGTAGAGCATACCCTTGACGTAATAATTACTTGTGGAAGAAAGTGCACAGCAGAAAAGTCCTGAGAAATGATCTTTTCAATTTTCTAAAACTAGTGCTGATACCATACAAATCCTAAATCCTATCTAAATCACATCTGGAACTAAATGATCAAAAATAAGATTACAAAGCAGGCCCAGCTGAGCTAGCAAAAATTCCCTATTTCCAAATGGGAACATTTTATGGCTTTATAAAATTTCAATAAACTGAATATTTCTGGATTTTTCCTCCAACAAAACAAAACAATTTAAAGGTGTGACCCCGGAAACACTGGGATCTTATGAGTATTTTTTAGATTTTTGCTGACAAACAATAGAAGCAACAGTTAGTATAGAAAACAAACAGTACATCAATTGATAATATAAATAACAGTTAGCTGCAGCTCCAGATAAGATTAAATTCAAACAAGAAGCTAAGTCCCAGTGTAGATGTTACAGCTGTTCTCTTGTTTACAGCGCTGGCTGCCTTTCAACAGCCAGACTACTGCTCCCTTCCTTCCAACTAATTATTAATGGCAGACAACACAGGAAAACAAAGAGGACAGTTTTACAATAGGAAAAACATCTTGGGCATAACTGACGCTGACAACTCCCCCTAAACTCTGATTATGTCTTTTGATTTTCTGGTCACTGAACAGTTAAACTGTCATTTAGAGAAAAGAAAGTTGCAAAAGAGGGAGTGAGGGATAGTGACTGCCAGAAAGTCCAGAAGACAGATTCAGCACAATGAATCAACTTCCTCCTAACTTCTCACTTCCTCTCTGGTCTACATGCCTCCAAAGCTCAGAGAGAAATGTAGCTCAAATTAGAGTTTCCGCTTGCTGTGGAGGCTGAGAAACAGGAAAGCAGAGGGGCAGAAAGACAGACAACACTAACAGACCTGTTTACACAAGCAAAAGGTCTGTTAGCTCATCTCTATATCCTTTAGACTGGACACACACACACACACACACACACAGGCAGGTGAAATAGACAGAAACAGAAGATACCACTCAACAGTTACAAGGTGAGATTACAGCATGGGTGTGCACCAGAGCCTTTTGGAAAACTGTGTCAGTGTGGCTATAAAGTACCCATGGTCCACAAAGTGGCCTGACATTCCTCTGATAACTGAGCGAGGTGCAGGAGATGGGAGCCCAGGTCCCATCAATCAGCACGCTCCCTTTCCTCCTCTCAGCACAATGACTATAGTGTTCTACATGAGCACCCAGCTTCTCTTCAACTGTGGAGTGGACCCTCCCACAATGAGCGAGCTTGCCCTGAGGGCAGCATATAAGAAAACAGACTTTGGCTATGTTGGAGATATCCCTAAACTGAATCGGTAGAGGGTCCTTAAACACGATAACGTACTTCACCGAGTTGCAGCATACTCACTAGGACACATTTTAGAAAAAGAAAAAAAAGTAGTATTACTATGTGTGCTGCACTGTGTGTTTAAAAGAAAGACAGAGAGGCACTGCTGAGGAAATTAAAGGCTTCAGCTCAGCAGAAGGCTTTTCTAAAGTACTTCCACCCAGTCTTTGCAGCCGCTTACACAGACACAGTCTCAAAAGCTGTTAAGACACCCCCTCCCTCCCTCTGCCAGCAAAACCTGTTAGCGCAAAATCTGTTTTTGCTTGCTCTAAATATGACACATTATTTGGCTAACCTAAACCTGAAACCAAAGTGAAAAATTC